ACAAGAGGCAGCAGCACCCTGGCAAAAGATTACAGGACCAGCTGCTGCAGATCCCACTCTGATCCAAACCCTGTACAGACCTCCCTGCCCACCCAGCTCCCACCGCTGCCCTGCCCTCAGCACAGGCAGAGATGCCAGGAGGCTGCAGATCCCAACCTGCCGTGATGCCCAAGCGGGCGGCTGGGACGTGTGGAGGGAGCTGCACGCTGGGACACGTAGTCCCTACCAGGGCCTCGCCACTCACTCACGCCAAGATCTCCACGACGTGAACTGCTGCTGTGAAATAAGGCGGCGGTGACAAGGCTTTACAGGGTGACTTAATTCTCCTGGTCCCCAACCCCTTTCTAAAGCAGAGCCCAGCCAACCGTAACTCCAATACTACTGCATTGGGAGTTTTCTCCTGTTTCACCTGCCAGACCTTGCTCACCTTCTGCATGCGTTACCGAGTTTGCTGAGAATCTTTGCTGAGGGTAATGGACACAGTTCAGGCAGAGGAGGACAAGTCCATAAGCAGATCTTTGCTTGTGTGCTGCTTTTTAAAAAGGCACCGAGTAGAAGCGACTTTTGAAATACCCTAAGACACGGCACAGCATTCCTCCACCACACACTAACCACAGCAGCAGCAAGCTTCATGCTCCTTCCTTAAAAAAAAAAAACAAAAAAAAAACCAAAAAACAAACAGAAGGCTGGAAACCCCGGAGATAAGTCTATGTCCCTTGTACACGTCACCTGATGGGTCACGTTCACCGGTGGGCTGTGAGCAAGCCCCAGCTCCCATCCCGCAGCCACCCCCTCCGCCATCCCTAACACACGGCCGCTCTCTAAATGTTACATCTGGGTCTGCCAGGGGTAGCTGCGCACCGCCCTCGTGCTTTCCTGTGGAAATCGGGCGCCTTGGCTGCAGCAAAACGCTTGAAAACCCCACCAGGTCTCCAGCTGCAGATTTTGGGTGGGTACACGTCGTCCCCCCACAGTGGTAGCTCCGTACCGCCCTCGTGCTTTCCTGTGGAAATCGGGCGCCTTGGCTGCAGCAAAACGCTTGAAAACCCCACCAGGTCTCCAGCTGCAGATTTTGGGTGGGTACACGTCGTCCCC